GAGGTATTCGGCCAATCACAACGCACTAGATAGCTGGCCAATCAGAGCACACCTCGCTTTTCAGACCGACGAGCTTTTTTTTCAGAAAGGCGGGGCATAGAGGAGAAACAATAATGTACAGTATGTGGAAAATAATGTTTTTTTGAACCTTAAACCGCATAAACACATTTCATTACACCAAATACACAAAATACTGTTCTTTTTAGCAACATCATATGACCCCTTTAAAGAAGTGTGAGCTGGGAAGCAGGTCAGCTTCGGGTAAAATAGCAGAAATTAGGACGGGGTTACATTATACATCATAATACACACAGTATGCTACCATTCAACATTTTTGGAAACCGTGATCATTTTTAAGGATCCTTTGATGAAAACAACATTTATTTGAAATATAAATCTTTTGTAACATACTGTCACTTTTAATCAACTTTAAAATGTATGCAAAATTGTGAAGAAAACAAACTGATATATAAATCTGTGGTTTAGAACTGCAAAGTTGTGTGTATGCAAAAAAGGGCTCTAGATACTAACTTGCCCTCAGAGCTGTAACTGTTCATGCTGCCGTCAGTGGACTCTCGACTGGCTTGGCGAGCCATGACATTGCGGGGATACTCCACTGCCATTCCCGTCTCCTGACTGCGCTGGATCTGACTGGATCCCTTTGCTTTCTTGTTGGCTGCTTCTGTGGATGGAAGAAAAACTGTTTTGCAATACAATTTTAATGATTACTAGATAAGTACAATGATATTATAAAGAAGGATTCTTTTGAATTATTGCAGGTCTAATACAAAAAAATAATAATAAAAGAACATAGCTGCTTTGATTTTTGCAAGGTTTTATATTCACGTGTGTGTGTGTGCCCAGATGTTTAAGTTTGTGTACTATTCTTACAACTGGAGAGTTCTTCACTCAGGAGAAAATATTGCGATCTAATACGAAGCTCTTCACCCCTGGTGAGTGTAACATCTCCTGCTGGACGTCATGGGGCACCATCTGTACTTTTTATGGCCTTTTGATGGATTACAGATCTTTTGAAAATGTCAACCACTGAGGTGGCTCACAGAGGTGCTGTCATCCCAGTTGTTTGAGTAAAAAAAATGTAGCAGAGAGATTTATCTCTTCACTCATTGTGTTCACTTTCATCAAACCACCATCAGTGGCTTATTCTGACAGAATTTACAGACAAAGAAAATGTCCAAGGATTGTCATTAACAGACTTGCATGCCTCTGATATTATTTGAGGAAAATAACTGAAGATGCTAATGCTAAACAGCAGCACTAATCTACGGAATACAATACAAGATCATCTGTATTTTGAGGTTCAGCTCGCGTCCAAACCACATGCTCTGTGGCAGTCCACAAGATAAGAGAACTGAATTTGGCGGTTATTGCGAAATAAATTAAATGCATAATATAAACACTGGGTGTCACTATCATATGCAGTCAATGTCACCATCATCATTAGTCATTCCACTATTTAAATAATAAATGTCATCTTTGGCCTGTATCACTGTTAAGATTTTTTTTTTGACAAAACAGTGTTGACTATTAAAAATAATAATAGTTTAATGGATAATGTTTTAATACAGTTAGTAATCCAGGTACAATTTTGTATAAAGGTTCAATTTGTTAACATCAATTAATGCATTAGGTAAAATGAACAATCAACTAACAATAACAACAATTTTTACAGCATTTATTAATCTAGGTTACTACTGTTCAGCAATTTCAGGGTAAGACAGCATTCAAATAAATCCTGAAAATAATCTATTTATTGAAGAATCCTGAAATATGTCAACAAAAATAATATTTGTATTTTATATATTAAAAAAATATTTTTTAATCCATTAAGAATATTGATAATAAAAAATGTTTCTTGAGCACCAACTCAGCATATTAGAATGATTTCTGAAGGATCGTGTAATGGCTGCTGAAAATTCAGCTTTGCCATTTAAACCATTCGTTTTTACTGTATTTTAATGAAATAAATGTAGTATACTTTTGAATGGTAGTGTAAATACACTGTTAATTCATGTTTATGCAATACATTAACTATGTTGATTTATACAATTAAAAAAATTAAAAATATATTAGTATATGCATAAATTACTATGAACTAAAATGAGGAAATGCTTTAAAAGAATTGTTATTTCTTACTGCCTAATGCTTTAAATCATGTAAACAGATTTAGAAAGTTTTACGGTAATCTTATTTTTAGTTTTGGCTCTGGTTGTGAATGGATGAGGCTGGTACAGTGGGCAGAGCGTGGAACAGCTGTTACAGAGCAGCAGAGCTCTTGATGATTTATCACAGCTTTGCAACTCTTTCTGATTTATCATCTGATGGGCCTTTTAAGATATTATCCAGGTGCTTGGCAGACAGCGGTGCCAAAAAACTTCTTTTGCCATCCTTTTTGAATTTGTTTCTTTTTTCAGCAGTCCATTTATTAAACTATAAACAGACAGTGCTTAAAATATGAGATTTTAGAGGATATCAGATCCAACTTCAAAGGCATTTATCTACAGTACATTACATCTGATAGGAATTCAGGGTTGATCTGCACCTGACACAATGAACTTCTGCCAGTGCTAACATGCTGCCATTCATATTTCCAGCCTGAGGTTTCAGCTTCCACACTTTAACACAGACTGAAGACATGCTACTTTATGAAGTGAAACAGGGTAGAGAGAGACCTGATGCGTAGATCCACTAGACAAGGATGACCCCGGAAAAAGAGGAAACACTGATAAGAGATAGCAATCCAAGTAAAGCAGGAAGACTAAAAAAAACATCCAACGGTCTTGGCAAATGGTCTGAACTGATGGAAAGGACAGTTTTAAAGAAATTGCTTATTATAATTTGTCAGTCTCCATTTTGGTGACGATTCCCTTCTGCTTTTGGCCCAGATGACACTAATGTCATTTCATTAAATATCTTTTCATTGTTACTAAAGCATTTTTGGCCATAATAATTGCTGATTTTAGCTACACCAGTAGAGGGCACCTCAGGCTACACTAACTGAGCCAATGTAACTCATCGGCATCCTGTATCTCTTCTCTTCTGTTTAAAAGAGTATAAAAGTTACACTTAAAACATAATTCTTTAAAGGTTTATCCCTGCCACTGTAGGATTAGGAAACGATGCGACTTTAGCAGACAGTGATTTCTAAACTATGAGTTTTAATGGGACAAAAGGCCTCGTCAAAGGCCCTAAATGGTATGTGAAGAAGCGAGCAGCATGTCTTGGATTTAAATACTTTATTTTATTAGGTACAATACTTGATCTATATCATCGTCCAAGCTATATGCCATTGTTGCATAGAAATCTGAGCTTTTAACTGAAAAAACACAAAGGAATTGACAAGGTGCGAGTATATAATCGGCTGGAAGTGTCTGACCTGTCTGACTGAGCTGAGAGGTGCTCCTGCTGCGGCGGGAGGGAATGCCCACGATGGCGACTACACGTGCGCTAAGGCTGGATCTGCGCTTTTTCCCTCCTGCTCCCAGTGTTCCCAGAGCGGTGTCTGACTGACTGCCATCCGTACGCTCCAGAGTGTAGATTTCCCCACTAACGCTCGTGCTCTTCAGCATGCTGCGGCTGGATGGATGAATATGACGGCTGGTGTGGGGAGAAAAATAGCGAAGACTCTTAGTAACCCAAATGACAAATGGAAAATTACTATTCTGACGTTAATACGACCCTCTGCATTTGATTATTGTGTGAGCTCTTTCTGCTTTTTTTCACTTCCCTCAACATGAGTTTACCGAAAATCATAAAAATCTGAGAATGACGCTATCATGGAAAAGACTGAGACTGAGAATCATTTAAAGGATAATAGAAAACAGATTTTGTCTTTGCTATTTTGATAAAAACAAGTGTTTGATTTACAATGTACACTACTGTTCAAAAGTTTAGGGTTGTTGTATTTTTTTTAAATACAGCAAAAACATAAATAGTCATACATTTTTACAATTTAAAACAGAATTTGTTTGAAATAAGACATTTAAAGTATTACAAAAAAATATAAAATCTTTTTTCATTAATTTATGCATCCTTGCAGAAATATATTAATTTCTTTAAAAAACTAAAATCTTGCTAACCCCAAACCTTTTAACAGAAGTGTAATACTCCATGTTTACAACACAAATGTATGGAAAGTAACCATTATGTTTACATTAACTATTGATCAGCATGTTTATAAGAAAACATTTATTCAGTACTACAGCAAAAATGAGAGAAAGAAGGTGGAAAATGATTGTCTAAAACTAATTTGCAACTGTTTGTGCAAGAAAACAATTATAAGTGGACTTCAAGGGGGAAAATGCTGTAAATATGTTGAAAATGGCCTCTTTATTGTAGAAATAGAGGCACTATAAAGATACATCTGTGGTTTTATAACTCTCTTGATTATATCTATTGTTATTGACCCTTATTACCACTAATATGCACTCCATAGAACATTCTTAGCAGAAGTACAAGGAATTTTTTAACAGATTTTTACCCATGTTAAATAAAGTGACGTGACATGTGGCCAAGTATGGTGACCCATACTCGGAATTAGTGCTCTGAATTTACCCATCCACAGTGCACACACACAGCAGTGAACACACACACACCGTGAACACACACCCGGAGCAGTGGGCAGCCATTTATGCTGCGGCGCCCGGGGAGCAGTTGGGGGTTCGGTGCCTTGCTCAAGGGCACCTCAGTCGTGGTATTGAAGGTGGGAGAGAGCGCTGTACATTCACTCCCCCCAACTACAATCCCTGCCGGTACGAGACTCGAACCCACAACCTTTGGGTTACGAGTCCGACTCTCTAACCATTAGGCCACGACTTCCCCAACATAGCCCCAACATAGAGGTAATAAAACTAAAAAGTGATAATCAATATATTATTAAAATTCACAAAACTAATCCAACAGTCCAGAGTGATGCTACAACATGCATCTCACCTAAATTGACCCCTGGGTCGTTCTGATTGAATGGACATGTAGCTGGTGCTACTGATCCGCGAGGCACTGCTGGCGCGAGAGATGGCTGACACGTCACTGACATCACTGTCTGAGGACTTGTGGGACACATTGTCACAGCTCTGTCGCTGCTCCTTATAAAGCTAGTGGAATGAAATGCACAAAAAATGAATGCATACATAATTTGAACTAAAAACAAATGAGCATTTTAGATTCTAAAAACTGTTTGAATGAGTTTGGATGGGATAATACTCTACCATTCAAAAGGTTTGTGGTCAGTGCAATTTTATAAGTTACTTTTTTAGCAATACTTTAATTCAGCAAGGACACATTAAATTGATCAAAAGTGACAGTAAAGACATTTATGTTACAAAAGAATTGTCAAATAAATGCTGTTCTTCTGAACTTTATATTCATCAAAGAATCCTGAAAAAAAGGTATCATGGTTTCCACCAAAATAGGCGGCACAACTGTTTCATGAGCACCAAATCAGCATATCAGAATGATTTCTGAAGGATCATGTGACACTGAAGACTGGAGTAATAGCTGCAGAAAATTCAGATTTGCCATCACAGGAATAAATTATATTCTAAAATATATTAAAATGAGAAGATTTTAATTATTTAAAATTGTAATATTTAAAAAAAAAAAAAAAAAAAACATTTGAGTTTTTACTGTATTCTTGATCAAATAAATGCAGCCTTGTTGAGCTTACAACACTCCTCTCTCTCTCTCAAAAAAAAAAAAAAATCGTACTGACCCCAAAACTTTTGAATGGTAGTGTATATGAATTCTAATCTGAGAGAGAACAAACGGCACTCACCTCTCTTTTATTCTTGAGCGTCCTCTCCAGATCGTGGCTGGTACTGGAGGGAGCTGGTGTTCGGAAGGTACGTACTTTCATTTGCCGCGTTCGCTCCTCTGACGCAAGAGCTAATACATACATGATACACAACAATATGATGCTCATCATTTCATATTTTGCATATTTACTCAAAGAACATTTGGAAAAGTAACCAGTACAAGTCAGCAGACAATGACTGTACCTTGCTCTACACTGCTGCTTTTGGCGGGGACTTGGGGAAGCTGTCTGACCTTGCGTGTCGAAGAAGGGGCCGCTGTTGATGAGGAAAATGCGGGGCTGGAGTGTGGCTGCACCCTGACAAAATGAGAGAGAGAGAGAGAGAGAGAGAGAGAGAGAGAGAGAGAGAGAGAGAAACAAAAAGAGTGATGGAAACTTTATCTTATGATTTTATCTAGTACAAAGGCCGTCAATATCGTAAACCAGTGTGAACCAAAGTGCAAACTACTGTTTGAACAAACAGCATCAAGAAGTACTACACATTTTGAATATGCAGACCCATGTCTGCATATTCGGGGTACATTATTAATCACATCAGATATGTATTATTGCTAAGAGCCATTAGGAAAGCAAAACAAGTACAAGAGTGGCAGGTGTGAAACCACTGAAAAAAATAGCGTTAAACTGTGAAAGAGCGGTAAACACAGAAAGCTGTGGGTAGGTGATGAGGACGGGTGGATTTTCAGTATGAAAAGCAGCAACCACACAAAACATCTGAGAGAAAAGAGCAAAAGCAGCTGAGATTATAGCAATGACAAGCCTTTTTGTGTAGGATGGGTTAGGCACAGCAAGGCTTCTCAGCCCAGATCAGGGTCGGCACCTTTCCATTTGGGGTGAGCCTGGGGTTGACCCCCTCACAGGTCACCTTACCCAATGGAGGCAGCGATACCTTCTTCCTGCGCGAGCCCTTTAGAATAGAGGTTGGCTGAATGCTGCAGGCCAGTGCGAATAGCAACATACAAGACAGAATAAAGGAAAAATAAAATCAATGTGACAAACCGGAGGGGAAAAAATGGAGAAAAAGCCAACAAAGTATTTGCAAAAATAGACAGAGAAATAAAGTGTGAATGTGTGAAAAAACAAATATGTTTGTGGATGAAGCCAGTGCAGCATTTCCCTGTAAAAGTTCAATAGCCCATTTAAAAATATATACAGTACACAGTGTATTATACAGTATAATATACTAAAATATATAGTATATAACAAGGTCCAAATTTAATATTTGCCATAACTTCTAATAATGGGTGATTTGAGAAAATGTACTGGCCATAAATTTTCTTCCCAGCCATTAATTATTTTTATTAAAAATTAAATAATTTGTATTTTTTTGTTATTTTTTTTTAAATCTTTTTGTTATTTATGATGAATTAGTCTCCATCACTCAGCAAAAAAACATTTACAGAAAAGACAAGTGAGTCACTTTTCTTTACAATAATGCAGATTTGATCTGCTCAAATCGCTTTTTTATAGTATGATTTTAATATCACCGCTTTCCTAATTTTAATTGAAACATTTTTGTTATTTTTAACAAATTACGAGAAACTGGTGAGTAACTATTTTATTATAAATCCATATCTAGAAGCTTTATCCAGTGTGAAACAAGTGTGATTTGTGTCTAAAACAGGTACTGTATGGACACACAGGACTTAAGGTACAATCAACAGGCAATGCAAATGTGACGTGAAATGACATGGTTTGATAAGTCTTACCGCTCGCTGTCAGATATTTTCTTGCCAAGTTTCTGACAGCTAGGCTTGTCCCGAGTTCTCGAATGCCTGCAACATGGAAATGATCGAGGCGAGACAAAAAATAAAAGAATGAGGAGTGGATTCACTCAGGACTGGATGGACATTAAATGAAACTCCTGTCTAATAAAATGCCACGATGGAGATGGACATGTTACTGGTATATGTGCACTAGAGCTCTTCCTGTGTGTGTGTACCTCTGTGCGTCTGGCTTTGCACTGAGGTGGTGTTTTGTCTCCTGAGCGGGGAACATAGCCTCCAAAACCCAGCTGATTCATAAGATCAGGTCAAACACATATGAGTGGCATGGACACATAGACACACAATGACACAGTATGGGCTGATGTTAATGAAACATAATTTCATTACACTTTGGTTAAATGGCTAAAATATACAATAACATGTACAGTAATTAAGACATATACGAGACAAACTGTGCATGATATGGAACACAGACACTTGACTCTTATGCGTCAGGGGTCACATATGACATATGTGACGTTCATACCCGAAAACTCTGAAATCATTACAATTTCAGTTTAATACAGAGAAAAATAAGTGAAGATACATGCAGTGCCCCCAAAACATATTTGGACACTTAAAATGTCTGAATATCACAGCATTTGCACCAATAATTTTACTGATCTGTGTGAAATGTTTTGCCTGAAAAGTGTGCTTGTGGTATTATAACTTCAAATTATATCTCAGTTGGTTTGATATTTTGTTATACAATGCAAAGGTATTCATACATTTTTATGTGTTAACATACTTTTTGGGGCCACTGTTAAGTGAGAGACTGTATCTAAATGACAAAAACTGTTGGATAAATCTGCGAAAGCTTTAGAAGATAGTATCAACAGAATAAAGAAGTTTAGATAAAAAGGACTAAAATACAACCTCATGAAATCCAGAGTAACACAACACACTACACATCACAGCACAAAAGCCACAAGTCACCACATTTTTAAAGCTACTAAGCTGCTGAAAATCTACAAAACACACTGGTGATCACATTGTAGAGCATTAAAATCATGGGGTCGGGTCACAGCAAGCTATGGGTCAGAAGCTACAGAAGGCTGGAGGGTTAGCTACATCCACTATCTAGTCCCATGGCAGAGGGGGGACGGACAGGTTAGAAGAGCAGAGAGGTTTAGCAATAGGACTGGAGGACAGGAGGGATACCTGTCGTCTTCTGGGGAGGCATGCTGAATTAGGATCCTGGGGCTCGTGGGTCTGGTACGGGGCAGAGACTGGGTGCTCCTGCGTGAGTGTGTGCATGTGTGATCCACAAACACCCAAAGAGTTGAAAGTGGAGATGGAAGAAACACGGGAAGTCAATACAGAGACTGTGACAACGGTCATGTCAAACATATAAGAAGATGCACAGATTCAGGGGACTCATTTTTGACACTTCTCCAGCTACAGTGGTTGGATATATGCTCCCTATCAAAGACGCAAAACAGAACTGTCAGGCCATAAGAGTCATTGCATGCTAACAGAGCAGTGCAAAGTGGGGGACCTAATGGTGGTATGTTACTTTGACATTAACATTAACGTAGACACACTGGGTTTTATTTACTAATACTTGCATATACTGCAAGTGTTCTTATTTTACAGTATGTCCTCAGAAAAGGTTACCACACTAAATTTGACAAATTTACTAAAAGCTAATGAATCTGCTAGCAGTTAGTGATTAGCATAATTAGAATAATGAAGGGCTTTCCACACAATCTCACAAACCTTTTTAGAACATGGCAAAATAAATAAGTCAAGTCACCATTATTTATGTTGTTTTTGTCACCATATTATGTTGTTCTTATCAACTTTCTATTTATCAAAGGATCCTTAAAAAAAGTATCTCAGTTCTTACAAACATATTAAGCAGCTCAAATGTTTCCAACATTGATCATTAAAAGAATCAGCATAGGATCTGAAGGATCGTGTGATACTGAAGACTGGAGTAGTGATGCTGAAAATTCAGCTTTGCCATCACAGGAATAAATTACCATTTAAAATATATTAAAATAGAAAACAGTTATTTTAAATTGTAATATTTTTAATTAAATAAATGCAGCTTTTGTGAGCTTAAGAGATTTAAAAACATAAAAAATCTTAACGACCCCAGCCTTTTTAAATGTATAAAATGTATTTATATAAACATTTAGGTAACACTTTAGTATAGGGACCAATTCTCACTATTAACTAATTGTTTATTAGCATGCTTCTTATTAACATATTGGCTGTTTATTAGTACATATAAAGCACATATTCTGCATGACCATATTCTACATCCTTAATACTACCAATATACCTAAACTTAACAACTACCTTACTAACTATTAATAAGCAGCAAATTAGGAGTTTATTGAGGCAAAATTTGTGGTTAATGGTTTGTTAATTGCGTGAATCGGACTTTAAAATAAAGTGTGACCAAAATTTAACTTAGCTAATTTAATGACTCTAATGCAACAAGGATTTGTATGTGGTTTTAGTTTGTTCTAAATTTTATCCTAAATAAAAAAAAAAAAACTTTCCAAAAAAATTAAGATTTCTGTCTTTACACACAGCTTTTAAGCAAAACAATATGTGTATATGCACATTAGTGAATAAGACCCAGTGATTGTTGTGTTTAAAAGGCATCACAAAGGAACATTCTAAGAGTGTCCTTTAATGTATGTGAATGATATTAATGACAAATTCACAAAACTAAAATAATCCAATTCAAAATAAAGAGTGTACCTATCTCGTTCAGGTGAATTGGAATTAGAACCTGGTCTCAGACAGTTGGTACTAGCACTTCTAACCCTGTCAAGAGAGGGCTGTAGATCACTAGGGTCACAACATGCCATCCAATGGAGAAAGAAGGAGGAAAAAAGGAAGATGACAAAGAACAAAAAAGTTAGGTCTAAAATAAAATGAAAAGCAAACCTGTAAGTCTTAAGTGGAGGAAGTCAAGAGAGCTGCTAAAATGTGGTGAGTGAGATAATGGTTGAATTTTCTGCTAACATTCTGAATGAGGATCTGCTGGCTCTTGGGAGCTGTTGGATGTTTGATGTTTTTTTTATATATAATTGGGTTTAGGGTTGACATGTTCGACCCCTTACCTAATGGTGATCTTGTCTGTGAACCTAAGAACTCGACGTGTGACTGTACGTTGAGTGGCAGTGACTACAGACAGCCGTGACTTTGACTTAAGGCATGCAGGAAGTGTTAAGCTGTTAAACACAAACGAAAGTCCAACAAGTGCAAACAAAAGCAAATATAAGTTACAGAAAAAGACAAAAAAAACATTATAAAATATAATCACATGACCATGTTTTCTGTGGAGACCTGTTGGATGTTTAACACTGTGTCTCAACCAAAGGGAATGCTAAAGGATAGCTTTCCCCAGGAATTATGGACTTCTTTAGACAGACAAATAGCTTGTCCCATCGCGCCTGGTTAGGACATGCCACAAGATGTTTATAGCTAACACTGATTTACTTTCTAACTCTTCAAATAAATTGTCTCTTTTAAATTACAGATGTTACTTTAAACATCCACAGAAACCAGAACACCAGTCAGATAGAAAGCACTCACATTTACTTACCATCTTAACATCTAACAGTGGCAGATTCCAACAGGATTGTCTGTATTTCAATCTCCAGCTCAATGACTACAATACTACACTACGTGTTTGCATATGTCATATGATGATGATGTTGAAAATACAAATGTGCTGTTTTTATGGACCCTTGTGAAAAAGCAGCACACTTTAGCATACTTATACCAGAAATAATAATCTTTCAAAAGAACATACTTAAGTGTGAACTGAATGTGATGTTTTCATACACTTTAACTGCAATTAAATAAAAAATTATGGTAACTTCAGTATAGGGACCAATTCTCACTATTAACTAGTTGCTTATTAGCATGACTATTATTAACATATTGGTTGTTTATTAGCACTTATAAAGCATTTTTCTACATCCCTAATCCTACCCAATACCTAAACTTAACAACTACCTTACTAACTATTAATAAGCAGCAAATCAGGAGTTTACTGAGGCAAAAGTCATGGTTGATGGTTTGTTAATAGATATAAAGTGTGACCAAAATTATGGCATTGTGTTATGGTTTAAATTTATATTAAATGCAGTTAGCCAAACTTTAGAGTGCTTATTTAACCCACTTAAATATGACTGAAGTACATATTTATATGGAATGTTTTAAGCACGTCTGTTGTCTTTGAAATCTGGTCAAGTGCACCGCTGAATTTACTGACAAGCATTTATGGAAAACTAAAATAAACTCAGGCATTTCTATATCATTTGTATGTCATGTATTTAAATATTTTAAATATATAAAAGTTGTAATCTAGTACATTTAAAATATATCAACTTTAAATGTAATATCTAATAACACAGTTAAAATTAGTCATCTACTTCACAAGTGCTTTAGTATGTTACAGCAAAACAAGTGTACTTCAAGTCACGACAAATTATTATTAAAACAATGATTTAAAATTTACTTTAAAATAAGCATGTTTAAAAACATTTTTAAATTGTACTCTCTTGGGGACCATCCAAGGCTATCTGCCAGTTTTCACCTTTTCAGATGATATTGTTTCTTTTGGTGAGAGTACAATTAACTGGCCTTTAATTATTATATGATGATAATTTAAAAGTATATATATATATATTAAAAGTATTACAAGTATATTTTAAAAATATACTTTTAAGGTTTTAAATACAAGTGCACATTCAATACAATTAAGTGCACTTCAAGGGGAACCAATATTATTACTCTCCCTATAACAGTAAATTTACAACATTATCATGCACATCAAGTTTAATGTTTTTTTTTTTAGTGAAAAAATACTGTGTCAGACTTTGACAATGATAAAAAAAATATATGCACCAGTAGGGATGCAGCGATTAATCGGTTTCACGATTAACCGCGCTTTAAAACGTCACGGTTAATTAATTGTAAATGCTTCGCTACACCGAGTGTTTCTGTTGCATGGAACGAAACTGTTGCAACTTGCGCAAAACGAAAACGAAGTTACACTAGCGGTGCACCATCTTAAAATGCCGTGTTTATCAGAGACACGGAGGCTACTACACACATTAACTATGACAGAGGAACCAAACAGTGAAGCTTTATTTCCACCAGAGAAATGCCTGAAGTCGATAGTGTGGGAGCATTTTGGGTATGTACACCACGAATGACCAGGGTGTAATTTAAATATTGCTGTAAAAAAACTGCTGCTAAAGAGCGAATGCATACGGGATAATGCATGGCTAGCTGTGCATTGAACAATTTTAAAAACCAAAACCAATTGACGCGAAGCTACGGCCGCTTCAGATCAGAGATGAAATAGTGCGGTAAGATCACACTTATTTGAATTAATTAATTATAGCATTTAGCTACTTGAATTAATTATTCGATCAAGAGAGAGAGAGAGAGAGAGGTGATAGTTGCGTGTGTGAAAGTCTACCTGCGCCTTCGCGTCTCTCTACAAACAATGAAGTTGTGAGTTTAGCAACTTAAACAGCGATTTAACCCCCTTGTTGCTGATGAATATAATGTAATGATTTAGTATCTAAGCTATTTTATTAAGAAGTCATATGAATTATTATAAATATTATTAAAATGAATATGTATGGATGACAGTTGATTACAATAATAGTTCAGTTTATTCCCCTCATTTAGTTTCCCCTGTGGGATAAAATAAATTAATATTAGTCTTATATTAATAATGCTTCGTTAACATTGGTATTTATTATCCCTGTTTTATTCATGTCAAAAACCAACAAGATTTTTTTTCACCATGTTTCCAAGTTCTCTACCTCAGGTCCAAAAGAAATAAAGAATGTACAAAGTGAAAACACTAAATACTTTTTAATTAGTTATTTTCAAAAGGGAAATACTGTCATGGATGTTTACAGAGCAGAGGTGTCCCTTTTTTTCATTCCAATAGGAGAGATGGACTTTTGTTTGTCTTTATTATTATTATTATTATTTTGTGCTGTGGGCCTATTATTAGTTACTGTGTTGTTTCTGTTTCAAAAGGCAGCAATAAATAACACTTTAAAATCTAAAGAGTGTTCATGTGATTTTATACACTAGTAATGTTGTGAAATGAATAAATGCATAATAATCGTGAAACCGTGATTATTCCTCAGACAATAATCGTACCAACAAAATCTATAATCGTTGCATCCCTATGCACCAGCATTCTGTATATTGCATTAGCTAATCCATAATAAAAGCGCTCTGGAGATCTGAGTGAGTTTGAGCGTCACAGATGCTATGAAATCCTCATTTAGTCAGAAAGGATGCCATGGCTTAAGTGTTCGTTTTTGGCCACCTTACCTGTAAATATCCTTATGAATTCCATTGACTAATAAAGGCATCTTGGGAGGCAGAGTGCTACTGTACTTAGATGAACTCCTGCCAACACTGCATTAACATGCAAGCAAGCAAGTGCAAGATGGAAGATGGAAACAAAAGATGTATCAAAATCACAGCTGTGGTTAGTCCACTCAAACAGCAAAAGAATGTCAAAGGCCACACACGCAAACATGCAAAGATCACTCCAGAGGCAACTCCCTCATTCTAGATCATCTTTTTTTCCTGTCAAACACGATCAGAATTTAATCGAGGTCAGTAACGAACAGAATAAAAATAAACGTGTCAAAATGACACTTCAGCAAAATGAGATTGTTATTTTCAGAAAGCAAACGGTTGTCGTGACGAGGTATTCGTCTTTTAGGCTGTACGCCAAAAGCAAGTGGAAAGTTCCGCTTGTAATGTTTCTTGTCAACGAACTGCTCTGAAATATTAGAGTGGAGAGGCGAAGAGTTTGACAAGAAGCGTTCGAGAGAGAGAAACTGGCATCAACGTTCAGAGCTGTTTTAATTGAATAGAATAACCTTCAGGCTAGGCGAAAGAAACAGGCACAAGGAGTCTTTTCAGAATGAAAATTATATTACCAGTTCTTATGACACCAAGATAGTAATATTGATTTACACAGTAATCTGAATACAACAATAGTATAATTTACAGATTGGTGGTTCAATTCTGGCCTTTTCTTTACCTTTGGGTGTGCAGACACTCTGCGCTTCTACCCCGCATTAATCTGTCTATCAAGATGACCTCACTGCAATTACCATGGAGATGGAGGACACATAGGAAAATAAACAAAAAAACAAAACAGACCAATAAACAAGCAAACATAAAAGAAAAAATGGGCACCAGTAAGTGAGTTAGAAGAGGAAGGGTAACAACCTTTAAAGCCAGAGCAATACACAAAGGTTAAAAAAGATGTGTCTTCCTGTACGATCATCTCTGTCCATACAAACCTTTCAGTGGTTTAATCCTTTCAAAAACACTCAGTCACATGTGGCTTGGCTTTAACCCACCTTCTAAAAATGGTGCAAGTCCTTTGTAGATTAGCAAGTCTCGAAAACGTAATTTCTCTTTCCAAAAACTGAACTTCTCTTTCCAAGAAACAGTATTTTTATGGAAGTAAATGAAGGCACATGGAAGTGATTATTCACAATAAGGCACACTTGTATACACTCGCTTGGGCCCGCACATTTCTATTTACCTGTCATCTCCGCAATCTCTCTCTTGCACACGGGCACGATCGTGGTAGCGTGTTGGGGAACGGGATCGCCGGCTGTGCTGGACCTCATCCAGACTCCTTAGAGAGAAAGACAGAGAGAAACCAGGGTTTTAATGCAGGTTACAATTATTTGGCAAATGATAAATCCTAACAATAGGTAGGGATGTACCTCTGTGCAGGGATGTTGGCTGGGCGGGACCGTCCCCTGCTCGCTTCGTCTCTGTGTGGGGACACGGACCGTGAGCGATACTGAGTTGGCCTGATCTGGTCTGGAACCTCTAATGTCGTTGCTCGGTCTCGGTCTCTGTCCCGTTCTCTTTCTCTTGATTGGTTTTCTGTAGCTGTGATGACACAAAGAAGAAAAAAAAATGAAAGACACATTTTTGGAAAGCTTGTCTGGAAATTTCAGATTTTGCTCATGCAGTCACTGGCCTTGCCAAACCACATTCCCCATGTTAGAACCCATCCAAAAAATAAAATGATTGACATAATATGTTAGACCATATCTAACAAAACATGCCAGATAATTAAAATACCTTGTTCATTCTCCTGTGAACAATGTGTGCTTTTGACAGTTGGAAGCACAATTTGAGTCCTAGACACATATGTACACACACACACTACCAGTCAAATCAGTCAAATCAAAAATTGAAAATATATATATTTATTTTTCTATTTTTGGTTATTTAATAATTTGTTTTCTACAATGACATTTTTACATATTTTTACAACAAAGCAGAACATAACAGAACAATCTTGGCTTAGTGGCAAAACATTCACTTTCAAAGAATGTACTTAGAATGTACTTAAATAGCAAAGCATTGAAAACTGAAAAATACATGGAGTTCTGTTTGTATGTTTTTTCAACAGAAATTGTTTTTCTCACCAGTTATTTTTCCAATAAAACCACTAATAAATATAACTTCATTGCTAAACTCATAGTAATAATATTTTGTCAAAAAAAAAAAAAATTTAAATGTAACTTTTAAATAATTCAAAGGTGGTCATAAAAAACAAAACAATCAAACAAACAAAAAACACTGCCCTATAAAACTATATCCACTATTTTTACAATTGCAGTATGCCTATATTGTTTGGAGAATGAAGTCAAGGTATGTCACAAAGGCATTGTAACACAAAGACGTGTCATTTTCTAACTTCTACCATGCAGAAGCAAAATAAAACGTGTAGCACCACCAAGAGGAAGCAGTCCTCCCGTTTACAATTTATTTTCCCTCAATTTCCCATTGCGATCATGCATGTGTGATAGTGTGCATTATTCTGCAAGTCTAAACTATTATACTACAGAGAAAAGCACTGGAGACAGAACACATTTCAGATAGTTAGTGTCTCCCCAATTTAGAAGAAGCACCACTTTATATTCATTTTTAGTGCATAATAGTACAAAGTACAAAGTAGTTATTTATTAGTATAGGATGAATGAAACATGCCAGATGTGTCATGATCGGTGATCGGTGCATTGTCTCCAGCACAACAGCAGTGACTTCCGAAGGAAGGGAAGGCCTGCTATTGGTTGCTTCTCTCTTTTGGGGTACTCTAATGCACAAAGTACAGAGAAGTGCCAAGGTTGGCATTGCCTTGGCCCCTCCCACCCACCTGTGGCGACTACACCAATACCATCATCATAATCAGTTTCTGTAATACGCTGCGAGCCTGCACACACAGATACAGATATACACACAGGGATAGATGTACAGACAGACGCGGAGATACACAGACATAAACGAATGCACACAAAGCACTGTTGGAATAATCCATTGTTAAATAAAATATGTCTTGTGAATACACTGTACCCATGGGCCACACTCCTACACACGAACTCACAGGCAGCACGGTTCAAAAACATACCTCCGCATGAACGTACAGACAAAACAGACATGAAAAACCTTGACTATTGCAAGACAATGTCAAACATATTAATGAGACTGGATGTATTCCAGGACCTTGACCTAAAAGATTTTTAACTCATGTTTGATGATTGTCCTTCACCTACTTATATATAGTTTAGTAATGGTGAAATTATGATAATATCTCTGGCTTGACTTAACATCTTAGAAAGAGAAGGAATACTTCATCTATTTTAATCGAACTGCCCACAACCTCTTCAGCTTTTGGTAAATCTGTGAAACACTGAGGGGGCGAATTCACTAAACGATTGTGCCTCACAATTGAGCAGTATTTCAGCGCAAAACTCTTATTCATATACTGCTCACAATTAAGCAAAATCAGGGACGTGTTTAGAGTTTTGGGGGCTCTAAGAAAGCAGTCACTGGGGGGCTTAAATATGCTACTGAGCAGAGTGTACACTACTGTTCAAGAGTGTGGGGTCAATAAGATTTTTGTTTTAAATTAATACTTTTATTCAGCAAGCAACTTTCTATTCATTAAAGAATCCTGAAAAAAAAGAATCCAGCACCAAATCAGCCAAACTAATATTAAGCACAAAATCAGCATATTTGAATGCTTTCTGAAGGATCATGTGACACAAAAACTGGAGTAATGATGCTGAAAATTTCGCTTTCGCCATCACTGGAATAAATTACATTTTAAAATATATTAAAATAGAAAATAGTGATTTTAAACTGTAATAATATTTCACAATATTACTGTTTTTACTGTATTTTTCATCAAGCAAATGCAGCATTTGTACGCATACAAGACTTCTTTAACAAACATCTCATTGACCCCAAACTTTTGAATATTATTATAAATTGCTGATACAGTGCTGCAACAAGCATATTTAAATTAGATAACCATAATTCGCACCTACTTTGTATGCAAATTAGGCAAATTAACTATTACTATTCATGGTACAAATATTTGTGTACATTTTCTATTGATCACGGCAGCAGAAATTTTTCAAATTATGATCAAGTGATGGAGAAGAGTTTTTTAATTGGACACATATCCAGTTGCTGATAGCTCACAATGCTTGCTAATAAACAGCAGGATCGACAGATGAAATTAAAATCATTCTTACTCATTTCCTCCCTGTAAGAGAAAAAGCACTTGAACACAAAGTGATTCAACACTTTCAGATCACATCCCCACTGTGAGGCTTTCCACTTACGCTGCAGCTTTTTGGTGGGTGTTTCTGTGTGTCTGTGTCTGCGGGGCAGGAATGGCGACGGGTGCGGCAGTGGGATGGAAGAGACGTCATGTGTCTGCAGCTTGTACCAGTGAGGCTTGTCATCCAGCAGGGCAGTCTCCAGCTCGATTAGGATCTAGGTTCAAAGAGAGGAGAAACCGCAGACAGTCAGGTGTGATACTGTATGAATGTTTTCAGAGAGCAATTCATGCTGCAAATAAATGGACAAAGTTAACATATGCTTCATACTTCTCCCAGAAAGTCACTCTCCTCATCTTGTATTCGGGGTTGGTCCCACACAGTAATCTCCAGCATGTGTTCTCTGAAATCCCGGCGATGGACATGAGAGTACACAAATGTCTGGTTCCACTTGGGCTCCAGACTTTTCTTTACTGTCTTCGTCCTTCTCTTGCTCTTATCGCTAAAGTAAAACACATATAACATTACAACAAGAACATTAAAACTATTAAAACTGCTTGATGCACATATCAGCAAAAAAAAAAATAGAATTTGATCTACACTTTTTTAATGGTTTTCTTTAAAAAGATTTTTATTTATTTATTTTTTGTATTCTGTTTTGTATTCTGAAGTCTCACCAAGGCAGCATTTATTTGATCAAACACAATGTAAAAATAGTAATATTCCAAAATATTATTGCAATGTGAAATATATATTGCTAAAAACTAATTGCTATTTTAATATATTTTAAAATATGATTTCACATGTAATAGCGAAGCTGAATTTTCAGTAGGCATTAGTCCAGATTCAGTGTCACATGATCCTTCATAAATTGTTCTACACTTATATTTTTCTTATAAATTTCTTATTAAACTTATTTTATTATTAATGAAAGCAGTTGTGCTGTTTAATAATTTTGTTGAAACTTTTTCAGGATTTTTTTTTTGATGAATAGAAAGTAAAAAAAAAATCATATTTATTTGAAATATGTATCTTTTGTAACACTAAATGTCTTTACTGTCACTTTTGATCAATATAATGCAATTTAATGCCATTTCCTAAATAAAAGCATTAATTTCACTTTTGAACAGTAGAATACAGGGTTGTCACAATAAAAAAAAAATGTCTGTAGTCGATACAATACCAAATTGCTTGACACTAAAACTAACCCCACAGGAAACATCTAATATACCTTCTATCGGGCAGGAAGTACATTTTGACATAGGGGTTTCTGGGTCGTCCATCTGATCTGGGTGTCAGGTCTATAGCCTGCAATACGTTCACTATCAGCTGATGGCCGACCTTATCGTACCACATTTTCACCTGCAAGACATAAATACATAAACAGCGAATAAACAAACACTCTAAGCACAACATTGTGAATGTACATACTTAAGTATGCACTGACCGACAGCTGTCCAGGCAGTAGCTGAGGGGCATCTCTAAGACCACTTGGGCTGGATGGGGACAAGACAGATATAGAGGGTCTTTCCATCTTCTGTGATTCGAAGGAACTTGAACCTGCTGCAGAGGGACAAGAAAAAACAAGTGTTGAAAACATCAGACTAATTTTTGCATATAAAAAAAAAATCATTATTTAAGAGTTCACAGTTGATTCATGAATCATTTGATTCAGTACGTACTAGATTCTAATGGAGGGTGTGATGTTTCTGGTATTCGTGGTATATCACTGAAAAAAACAAAAAAACAAATCCATACATTAGTTGTCAAGTGCACTACTATTCAAAAGTTTGGGTCAGTAAGATGTTTATAAAATAAGTCTCTTATGCTCACCAAGGCTGCATTTATTTATAGAAAATACAGTAAAAAAGTAATAATATTATAAATATTATTATATTTTAAAATAACTGTCTATTTAAACATGTTTTAAAATGTAATTTATTTCTTTGATTGAAAAGTTACATTTTCAGCTGCCATTACTCCATTTATCAGTGTCACATTATTCTGTAAAAATCATTGTAATATGCTGATTTAGTGCTCAGGAAATATTTCATATTATTATTAATATTGAAAACAGTTCTGCTGCTTAATATTTTCTGTGGGAACCATTATACACTTTTTTTCAGGATTCTTTGAAGAACAGCATTTATTTTAACATTATACATGTCTTTATATCCACTTCTGATCTATTTAATGCATCCTTGCTGAATAAAAGTATTCATTTATTTTGTAAAAAAAAATAAAAAATTATTAATTAAAAAAAATAACTTACTCTAAACATTTGAATGGTAGTGTATTTGGGCATTTAAGCCATATATAATGTATGAATATTTTTGTATTATACAACAAAATGTCATATATAGTGTCATTTATTTTGAAGCAATATAGCACAAACATGTCTTTGACATTTGTTAGGATTGAAATGATAAAATGTTCGATAAATTGTTTAAAATATTTTTGACAAGTTTGTTTTCAGAAAAGCTCTAATATCATTTTTAGCAGACATTTATGTGCAATTTAGGTGTCCAAATATTCTGGACACTGACAAATATTTTCAAGTCAAACATCATCAGCCAGAGGTCACAGTGCATCACAAGCTCTTTATAAGGGACAGAAGACAGAAGCAAATGAAGAGAGAATTCAGAGATGAGGTCCAAAAAAAAAAAAAATCACAGCACCTCTTTAGACTGTGTTTTACTTGCAGCTAAGATTTATACACCCTTTGCAAGTGTTTGGAGAGAAATCAATGAATACATCTTTTTAAAGAAGTGGGAGGACAGAGCAAAGGAGAGTTTAATGGCTTACAGTGAAAACTAAACACAATACAAAGTTAAACATCTATTGCACAGCTATTCAACTGCCTGTAGACACTTTAAACACTCTTGTTTAATAATTGGTCCAACTAGAATAAATTATTTAAGGGGTCATGAAATGGAGAATCAAAATGTTCTTGATATTTACACATAAGAGGTTAATCTACAATAAAAAAACTGCAATTTTCAAAACTAACTCCCCATTTTAAAATACTAGAATACTACTAATTTACTACTACTACATTTTTAAATTACTAAAATACTACTAAAACCCCAGGATTTGAAATCAGGAGAATCGTGATGTCACAATTCACCTCTATATGTGTCATCATTTATGTAATCCGAGGAGGTGTGTTATGAACAACTCATGTCTGTCATAATGAATATAATGATACATCAATGATGCTTCTGTTAGGTAAAGAAAGACTAAATCTTTGCTAACTTTATAAACTAACCTCAAGAAACAGAATATAAAAATAGAAATAACCTATTGTATTTAAATTATGACCATTTTTGTAGAAAAAAACAGACTAAGATTATAAGTGCACCCCAGGAAACATTATAAAATAATTTACAAAACGCAAGCAATGACCCCTTTAAAAATGGTTTTGCTGCTTTGCCTTTAGTTAACCGAGAGTCAGATTTCCAGTAAGGTGTGTGAAGGACGACTTACCCTATTGGTCTTGATACTACTAACTCAACTCGTGGTTCTGTTTGGGAATTCAAGATGATATTGTAAACTTCTTTCTTGGTTAACCCAGGTAATGATGTACCATTCCACTGAAGCACCTCATCACCTACAAACAGCCAAAATGTGTGTTGTCACATTAAACTCCTGCACACATCTGAGGACAACCACCATTAAATTCTTAAAATAGAAATTTCACTGATTAAACACACTCATTAAACATTTTCAAAATATCTGAGGACTAAATGCATTATTAAATTAAATTAAATTAAGACTGTCAATTAAATGTGCTAATTTAGCACAGTAAATTACGCAAGTATTTCCCCAACCATCAGTAATTTTAGCTTGAAATATAACCTCATGTTTTTTGCAACAAAATGTGGACAATATGCAAACAATATACTGACTTCTAAAGACGTTTGTGGTCTGTGTATGAAAAATCTTCATTTGGGGTCTTTTCTTTGTAAATACTGATATATGCCAGTGGTTTTCCAAGGACCCCCATTGCCCACAACATTATTCTAAAGCTCCTAGTTTCTGTACAAAAAAAACTTTCAGGGTTTCCACTCTTTTTAAACAATGACTTCACATGACTTTTGTGATTTCCTGGATTTTTACAAATATTTTTACTCACAATTTCTACCTGCCTGGTCAAATATTTTAGTGGTGTTTTAAGATTTTATTAATTTACATTACTTAATTTAGAATTCTCATATATCCAGGTTTTCCACGACTGTAAAAGAAAACAAAGAGATGTTAAGGGTGATTTATATACAAAATCTTGATTTTTAGTCATTTTAACTTGTTTTGACTTTTATTGTAAATCATCTGAAGTCACCTTAAGGCCACATTAGAAGTTTGCTAGTGGGCACTGGTCCTGGTTGAGAACCACTAATATATGCATCCATACATGATTAATTTGCTAAATCAGTGTATATGGTAATTTACTTGATTACACTGTTTAATCAATTAACAGTCCTAGTTATTTAAAACTGAGAGAAACTGAGAGAAGTTCTGGACTCACCAGCCCGTAGATGACCCACCACATCAGCTAAACTACCTTTCTTGACTTTGATGATGAAGGCCCCTAGTCTCCCAGTTTCTGTAATCTTCCCCCCGACCACCTGTACCCATACAAATCATTTAAAGATGGGTAAAGTCTACAGAGAATTCATAAATGGCAGTACATTGTGTGTGTGTGTGTGTGTGTGTGTGTGTGTGTGTTTTCATTTTTTG